TTTTAAAACAAGTACCGAATGAAAATTGAAGCATGTAAATTACAATATTATAACAACTTAAAAACTATTCTATCTGCTTTTAATAATATTATAAAAGTTTATTTTAATAAAACTTTAATAAGTGAAACCTTCAACGAATGCAGCATAATGTTTCTGTAAGAAAGCAGATGTTTCATTAAGAATTCAGTACCCCCTCAAACTAAAAAAAATCTACAAGCTATGATCAGGTAATGCCATCTGGAAATGTAAAAAGTTAACTAAAATAAATAATATGGGGTAATCAAAAACTAAAACTTTGGAAATGAAAAGCCCCTACCACAGACAGGTAAAAGGGTTCCTTATGACTATAAGCAAATCTTTTAAGCAGTTAAAGGTTATTTGGCTAGGTAGGTATATGTAGTGAAACTTAATATTTTGAGGATGTTGAATCATGTTAGTAACAATATTCATCAATAGAAAAATGAATACACTAAATTATTTGAGAAGCTAAAAATAGTCATATGTAATTTTAGTTTATTTCTTTCTTTGAATGAATTCTCCTACAACTGATGTCAAAAAGCACTGAAGAACACTGCAGAAGATTTTCGTGGAAGATTCTAAGTAAGCAGATGTAACAAGACAAGCTGTTGTACCTCCGTTCCAGATGTGCGTTTACATTAGTGTCATCAGATATCTGTAAATGCATTTTCTGGAATGTAAGGTGGGACTGCCATTTCTTCAAAATGGAAAGAAGCTGTTGGGCGGCGGCGGTGGTTGTTGGCAGTGTGGTTAGCTGGTTGTGTGGCCTCTATTGGTACAACCACTATCCCTATTGCCCCAAACCATAGCTTCACACCCGACGGTGGACCTCTTCAGACCTGCTCTCACACTGAAACATACAAGTAGAACTGCATACTTCATTTGTACCAGTGGTCATCGAACTATTTTTATAGAACCTTATTACCATATTTCTTTGCATATCTACCCCTAGCTTTTTAGCACTAGGCTCTGAAAATTTTAAAGCATTTGCATAATTTTCTCCTTCCATAATTTGTACAGAGTTTTTCACTTTTAGGGCTAGTTGATTGGCAAATTGTATTCACTTGATTGTTTGTATTTTTATTTATTCTACTTAGTTTGTATTTACATTTCATACATTTATTATCTCTTGAATTTATTATTTTTTTTTCAAATTCTTCAATAAATTACCTGGATGTGGCAGGTGCTCTCATGCTTAAGAAACTGTACAAACATGTGATTTAACGTTGCTACTATTATTTACATTCTAGCTCATTACAGTCTTGTCACTGCTCATATATTTAATCTTTGGAAGTGCAGGTCTTTTGTTACCCCTTCTCCTTCCTTCCTTCATTCATTCATCTAGTGCATGGGTGTCTAAAGTATGACCGTTTGAGGGCCACAAAGAAAAAAAAAATTGTGGGCCACACATAGAATATTTTTTAACAAATTAAAATAATAATATAACTCTTGTTTTATTACAATCAATTAACTTTTTATTATTTTTTTAATTTGAATTAGATATGTATAGGTACATGTTTATTATTAATTTGTAAAAGTTTTGTTTAATTTAATTTGGATGAATTTGCTTTTGTTGAACAAGCTAATCAATAATGTGTTCAATAAATGAGGTTGCAATTCTTAATGCATTTTCAGGATGTTTGTCAGTGATCTTTGTCCTGTTTTTGTTTTTTTGTATGCTCCATTCTTGAAAATAATTGTTCACAAATATAGGTACTTCCAAAAGCTGAAGACATTAAAAGCATGATTGTGAAAATTAGGATATTTATCGCAGGAATTAAATTAGGATATTTATTGCAATTATTAATTAGGATATTTATTGCAATCTTTGTAAAACTCCAGAGAAGAAACATTTTCAAATTTTTCTTTCAGTTGAATGTCACTTTGCAGTTCAATGCATTCCATTTGAAGGTAATTTACTTATTTCCAGAGAAAATGACGTAGAAAATATTGAAATACTCTTCATTTTTTCAAAAAATCTTGAAATCTATTTTTAAACTCTTGAATTAAATCAAAAAATTAATGCAGCATATTTTACATATTTTGTGAAACTCGTAGGTTTATATGCAGCCAAAGTACTGAAATGTGTCAAATCTTTTACTTTTATTTGATTGTGCCAAAATTTTAAACTTTCTTTCAAACGCTGTTATTGTTTGGAACATATTATTAATAAGTTGATTTTTTCCTTGAAGTCTCAAATTTAAATCATTCAAAGGGTCTGTTACGTCTACTAAAAATGATAAATCTAAAACCCCATCTTTGTCTTCAAATTCAGCTACAGGTTTCCCTTTTGTTTCTATAAATATTTTTATTTCAGTTCTTAAAACGTAAAATCTTTCAAGCATTTTCTCCTTACTGAGCTATCTCACTTCTGTATAATAAATAAAATTTGCAACTTCAGTGCCCATTACCTTAAGAAAAATCTTGAAATTGTCTATGATTAAGTCTTTTTGCTCATATAAAGTTAATGGTTTTTATAACAATGCTTAATACACTTTTCATTTTTTAAATTTTTCCTCATAAATTGCCCTGATGTACAATACAATGATATGCCATTAAGATCATATTGCCGGCAGCGACAGCTTCATTACTAACCATCTTAATGAGTCCCCCATTTTTTTACCAACCATGGCAGGGGCTCCATCAGTTACGATAGCTGATAAATTTTTCATAGATAAGGAAAACCTTTTCATCGTCAGTTTTAATACATCGGAATAAATCTACAGACTTGGTTGTGTCCCTTAACGATACTAAAGCAACCATTTCTTCCGTGAATATTATAATGTTCAACAATTCCTCTGATAAAGATTGCCAATTGTGCCATATCAGAAGCATCAGTGCTTTCGTCCACAGCTAATGAATAAAATTTTAAATTGATGCATTTACTTTTTAAAGGCTTTTCAAATGAATTCCCCACCTCTTCAATTCTTAGAGCTATAGTTTGGTGTAATAAACTGATTTTAGAAAAATCCAACTTTTTTTCAGGGTAAATTATGTTTGCTAAGCTTTCCATACATTCTTTTATAAATTCACCTACAATAAAGGGTTTTTGATTTTTTTCACTAATAAATTTGCTACAACATTACTTGCTTTTTCAATGTTATTATTTTAAGTAGCTGTCTTTTTAAAAACATTTTGTTCAGATGATAGCCCTTTTTTTAGTTCTCTTACTTTATCTTTATGAAAAATGTGGAGAGATACATCATATTTTGTGGCATGCTTTTGACTAGAATGTCATTTCAAATTGTAGTCTTTAAAAACTGGCACCAAGTTGCCTACAAATTAAGCAAAGTGCTTTACTATTCTCCTCAATAAAAAAATATTTCTCCATCCAGTTTTCATAATAAACTCTTTTTTTTAATGTTCTGTTTGTTTTCTAATGATATGGAGGCCTTGTAAAAAATTATGTATTTTAATTTTATAAGCAAATATCTGTAATGAATATGAATTATTCATACCTTTTTAAGAATTTGATAAAAGAATTAGGAACTTAAAATACAATGCAATATACTGCATAAAAATATTGTAATTCGTCGAAAATTTGTATACATATTTAAAATTTTAACGATGGCAAAAAGACATTGACAATTAATGGTTGATTATTTTTGGAAATATAAAATCTAGCGAATACACGCATAATTCAAAACGTAAATTCTCATGCGTAGTAAAATATACCACATGGAACAGTTTTAGAATGGATTTAAATATTTTACAAATTGTGAACTTTTATGAACTGCAAAAGTATAAATTAAACTACATGCTAACTAATTTGAACAACTAATAATATTACATCTACTTACTTATTATTACTTGTAAACCTGAAATTGTTTTGCAAATGACACAGTTCCCGCCAAGAATGAAAGAAGCAATAGATAAATAGATAGATATAAACCTGTAGCACCATCTAGGTGCAAAATGAGATGTGGAATATGAATATTATAATATTCTTGGCCTACATGAAAAAAAAAGTGGGATCCATATTGAAAATAAGAGAAATAAACTTATGCACACTATTTTCATGTGATCTGTATCACGAGATTGATTTTGCATCTCGTGTGAGCCATATGCAGAGGGTTTTAATACGTCATGACACACTAAGATGTTTTTATTTTAAAATAAACGGTAACAAATCGATTATACATAAATCAAATTCAAACATTTATTTCTTAATAAAAATGTGTAAATTTAAATACTTTCATAATTTGTGTTTGGACCGCATTTTAAAGACTTTTGGGCTGAACTTTAGACACCCATGATCTAGTGTTCCTCTAGAGAAGAACTGTAGTCAAGATTCATGTGAAGTAACTTGGAGCTTTATAAGGTAATTGAGCTGAAATGGGATTGTCCTGCTCAGTTACCATCAGATATCGTAATGTTAATATAAAGAAATAATATTGTGACAGTTACCAGTAGTTTATCCCCATGCATACGTTTCATTTGTTGCATTTTTACTTTAATTATGTTATTTGGAGATTATAAATGACTCGCCTAATTTTCCCCTTTTGATTTTTCAGACAAGATTAGTTAATAAAAGGGGGGAATATGCGAGGAAATATGGTAAATAACATTTAAAAAAATTTTTGTTATGAAAACAATAGATATGTTATTGACTATATCCACAATTTTCCCCCTGATAAAGTGTATGCAGTATTGATGTATTTTGAATGCTTTTTTAATATTTATTTTCCTACTGATGGTAAAAGCTGTGCTTTAAAAAAAAAAGTAATAAAAAATACTAGTGTCGTTTTATGAGTACCGTGAGTCAACAGAGGTAAAAGATTACTATTCTCAACTATTTAAGGATATAAATTATTGTATGTGTAATGGCTAATTATTTGTTTTGTAATAGAGGATGACAAACCTGTTTCATAATTTTATACATATTTTTTAATATAACTTGATTTAACATATTAAATTTGCATTGGAAATAAAATAAATTTCTTTTGCTAGTATTGATTACTAATTGCAGCATTTCTTTTTAGGGCAGCATATGTCTCTTTTGGAGGTTTACTAATGAGATTGCAGGGCGATCCTAATAATTTACACGGGTTTGAAGTAGACAACCATGTATATTTATTGCTTAAGAAACTGGCATTTTGAAGCATTTATAAATTCTACTGTAAATAACTTTTATATTAAAAAAATGGGTTTTCCCTAATAAAAATAAAAGGTATTAAACCTGCATTTGTAGTACTTTTTTTTAATGACAGAATTGTATCTCACACTCATTTTAGTACACAGGTGCTGCTTAATGTAATCATGTTTGCCCAGGGCTATTTTGATAACACAATAAGAAAAATGTCTTTCAAAATATTGATATAATTTAACTAATTCAATACAAATATAAGTAATATTCATAAAACGTCCCTTAACCTCAGCTCAGAAAATTTATCTCGTGATGTTCTTGGATTTATTTCAAAAAACAACTAGCAAATATCTTCTGTCATTGATGCTGCAGCTTGAATTTTTTCAGATGCTTTGGCACAAAAAAGCAAGGTTGTTTAGAATTTTACTTCATATTTTCTAATTTTGATTAAATCAATAGATTTTCCTAAAACTTGAAAAACTGGCTCCTTTGCACATGGTAGACTTAAATCGAAGCCAAGTCACTTAGCAACATGTCTCTGCCATTTAGCAAATTTTGTAGTATGTTTTGACCTTATTTAGTGATTTTACATCAGTATTTTGATAACATTAACCAAATTTTTTATCACAATAAGCAATGTATTTTGCATTTTTTTATGTACAAATTATTGCTACTACATATCACTACTACTTGAAATAGATCATGCATCATACCATTTCTTTCATGACTACTGTTAGCCAAGTTGAAACATGCCCTGTATGCAATTGTGCATCGATGGACATAAATCATCTCTGTCAGGTATTCAATATTTGTATATTCAGCAAACAGTTGCTTTGCTGGATGAAACAGAGAACACATCAAAGCCAATAAGATTACAGGAAAATTTTTTCAAGCTACATCAGAATGAACTGTCTTCAAAATGTTAGTTTCCTAATTATGTCCTAAAAACAAGAAATATCAAAGAAGGACCATGATTTTTTTATACTAATGAAAAACTGCCAACAGTTAATTTTAAAAGATATTCTTTGATCAAATATGAACAGTAAGATTGAGTCACAGATCTTTCTTTACTAATAGAGTTTGATTTGCAGTAAAAAAAAAAAAAAAAAAGAAGGTATTAATTGCTATTATATGTTAAGATGAAATTGAAATGGCTGAATGATTACTCTAAAACAATTATATTTTCCTTGGAAATTACAAAAAAGTAGAAGAAAATAATTTCAAAGGTTGTATTTTAATGGCCACCTAAAAGGGCTATTTTAAAGTTTAACATAGCTTATGAGCAAAGATCATGAAAAGAAATGGTCCAGGTGTGGAATAGCGAAACATTTTAGAGGATATTAGACGAATATGCAATTAGACTAAATATGGACATATTCCATATCTTCTGCATGTTTGAAAATTTATATATATAATGTTATTCTATAAAAATATTAAAATTTTTTAACTCATTATGTATTAAATGCATTTTAATTTAAATCAGATTGAAAAGTAAATAAATAATATTCATATCTATTGTCAATAAAGAAGTTACAGTTTTGGATCTAGCTTAAAAAATATTTAAAATACTAAAATTTATAATTCTTAAACTCCAAACTGATACTTATACTACAAAAATACTGAAATGTACTTGATATATTTTTTTGGTTGTTTGATTAATGGCAAAAAAGCACTCATTGGCAAAGGTAAGAATTTCTTTTTGAAGGAAACTGGCTCATATTTTCAATACATATAGGGAACACCAAGAAAACTCTATCACAAAGGAAAAAACTCAGGATAAAATTAATTAAAAACTTTGTGGCTTTAATTGTTGCAACACTGACAATTTATTTAAAAGCTTTTAATAATGATTGTATTGAATATTTTTTTAAGTTGAAAGTACTTAAACATGAATGATTAATTTGTGCAAATTTGAATACATCATACAAAAGTGGAAGCCGAATGTTTTCAATATCAACTAGATAGCATTCTTCATTTCCTCTGATGCTAAGCAGTTGACCTAACTCTATCATATCAGACTGTTATATAGACTAAACTTTCACCTTCTATCATTAGATATAAATATTTTTGTTTATAGATGACTAATTCGATATTTACATACATTTAATTTTTGAATTATGATTTTTAAAAAGTAATTAAAAAATGCACAACATTTTCTGAATTGTTATACTTTAAGATCATAATTTTCTCACTCACTCGGAGGAAATGTTTTAAAAACTTTACAGTTTTGAAAAATTAACTAACAAATGTTAAACATGTTAATTAAATTTTACAGAACAATTTTAAAGTGTTTCAGAAGCTGTATCATACAGCTGGTATAGGAAATTTGTATGCTTTGAGTTCTCAGAAAGCTATGGAATGTTGTCTACCTACCAAACCGATGTAATGAATTTGTTTTAATATTTTCATTCATAAATGCTTAAGTTTCTATAAGTATATAATTATTTATTTGTATAATAAATGGCAATTTTGGTTTGCTGCTTATGATTTTGTAGTATCTTTTACTTTGCAATTTGGATGTTTTATGAAAATCAAAATAAAAACGATTTTCATGTATACTCAAATGCTGCGAAAATTTAATATTTAAACTGTGGGCCATATAAAGTTCAAAAGGAATTGTTGAGTTATCGATTGATTAATGCTTATTAAATCCAAATGCCATTCAATGCTAAAAAACACTGAAGATGCTTTACATCCAGCAGTGTTCAATATTGCACCAGATTTAATCTGTTGTACAGGAAAAAAAAGAAGAAAAAAAAAAAAAAACCTCATCCATATCATTAAAACGGAATTTTCTCTCATTCATTTCTGGCTACTTGAAATGAATTTCTTTTCATGCTTTTTCTTTTGCCACTTTTTACGTATCATTCACCAAACTGATATTTATATTTTTTAAGGTACAAATAATGAATAAAGATATAAAAATCTAAGGAATAAAGAAATATTTTATATCTTTATTCTATATTTAAAAACATGCAGTTGGGGGGGAATGATAAAAAGGGCTCATCTAGACTAGGATTTTTTTCTAAAGATAAAATAGCCTTGTGATAAAAATCATACAAAACCAAATTCTTTAAAATGCATTCATTTGCTTCTCAGTTAATATGCAGATAGGATATGTAGTGCTATTAATACTTATTTACAAAAATTTAGTTGCTTGTATTGAATTAATGAGATGAGTGAAACATGTAGAATGTGAAAATAAAACATTTTTGATGCTTATGTATTGTTCAAAAAGTTCTTTTTTTCATTTAAATAGTTTTCCATTCCAAATAATTTTAAATTAATTTCCATCATGTAGGGGAATTCTTGATAGGCATATGAGTATGTTAAATTTGGGGAATTAAATATTTACACTTAATTTCATTTCTACTTTCAATTTGCGTACACATAGCAAGGATGAAACACTGTTTGAACAGTTGAAGGGAGTATGAAATATAAACTCATTCAGTATTGTTTCATTATCTTTTCAACTGTTCATTTTTAAGTAATTTTCTTCATATGGCTTTAATTATCATTAACAAATTTTGTCACAATTTTATGCATATCCACTAAAATTGGCCATTGCTAGTAAAGCAATTTTTCCATGATGATTAACTTTTAATAATTAACATTTTTCTAAAACTTTTTAAAATTAAAAAAAAAAAAACTACAAGACATGAAATTAACAGAAGAACTGAAAATTAAATTTTGCAAATTTCTGCTTCCAATTTATTTTTTATTTTTCAAAAGAAACTTGCTGTAACTGAACCAAGTCAAGCTTACTGACACAAATTCCAGTGCTGATCCTTTACTGAGGAACAGTAGTATTTCATTTTGGTTCATCTTGCAAAGCAAAATCGAAGAATAGAAAAGCCTCAGATAAAACAAAAGAAGATAGATTCACAGCAGCAAGATAGTAACATTGAAAGTATTTTAATATTACTGAAGAAATGGAAAAATCAAAGCAAAAAAGGCTAAACAAATATAAAGCATTATCATATATCATAGGCGTCAACTTTTCTGATAGATCACAAAGTCTCCAAGTTTTTAACTTTTAGCCCTTGCTTATAAAAGTTTTTTTTTTTTTTTTTCCAGCAATAAAATTTAAACTGTGCAAATTTATCCTCCCACTCTTTGTGATTTATTCCGCCTGAATTTCCTTAATTTACTGCAGACATTTGTAGAATTTTAACCTTCAACTCATGTTTAATCAATTAATATTTATTTCATTTTGTGTAACATCAATGTGCAGTACATTATTAAGTATATCCAAATAATACTAAGTACATTAATTATTAATTTTATTTCCATCATGTTTAAAAGTATTTTGATATGTTTAAGTTTTCCTTCTCTACTCAGGATTAAGTGAAAGTTTAAAAGTGTAAGACAATTACAAAATCAAATCAGCCAAAAAACATAAAATTTAGAATATCTAATTCAGTATTAATATATTTTATATCGGAGTCATATTATAAATAGTTGAGTAACCTGAATTATGCATTATAGAGCTAATTTTAAGTCAATCTGGATTTCTTTTGAAATGGCGTCGTCGTGCGAACTAGCGTCTCAAAACACTGATGGTTGTGAGCAGCTCCTTATGGAAAACATGTTAAGTGCATGTTCACAAACAGGATGAAAACTATTTTCTTTTCAAAAAGTGCCAGTGATCGTACGGTTACTACATTTGGCTGTTATATGCCATTGTATGTACATTTTTATCAATTAACAGAAAATCTGAATGAGAGAATAGTTTTTAACCCCACTTCATATGTATAAAATATTCTTCATTTACAGCCATATGATATCTGCTTTAACCCTTTAAGGTTCGGTTCCAAAATAAATAAATAAAATAAAATAAAATAAAAATAACTACACATAGATAATTAGCTCTTAATACAATGTTATTTCATGCAACCGCCCCCCACCACCACAGGTAAACCTTTAAGTAATTCATGTTGCGGTGGGATACCGTTTGTCCCAACGCGCATCTAGAGCAATAAATTGGCATTTCTGCCTGAGTGTAAATTCTCCTAACATGCTTATATAAAGTGCAAGTCTTAGCAACCAAATGAAACTGCAAGATATAAAAATTTTTTTGAATAATTATCTAGAAAAT